TTTTTTCTGTTCTGCAGTAGTGATTTCCAGTAATCTGTCTTCTAGCTCACTGATCCATTCTTTTGCCTCATTTAGTCTGTTCTTGGTTCCTTCTATTGTGTTACTCATTTCAGTGATTTCATTCTTCAACTCTGTTTGGATATTCTTTATATTTTTCAACTCTTTGCTAAGAACTTCACTCTGTGCATCTATACTTCCCTTGAGTTCTCTGAACATCTTCGCCATCATTACTTTAAAGTCTTTCTCAGGTAAATTGCGTATTTCCTCATCACTTATTTCTTCCTCTGGGATTTTATCTTGTGCCTCAGGCTGGGAGGTATTCCTCTGCCACCTCATGTTGTCTACCTTTCTATTGGTATTTTTAGGTAGGTTAGTTACATTCCTCAACTTTGGAGAGGTGACTCTCTGTGGGATACATCCTGTGTGTCCCAGCAGTATGCTCCTCTCTGTCACCCAAGGGCCAGCATCCAGCCTGTCCCAGGGTAGAGTCTGGCCTGTGTTAGTGGATTCCTTCCACAGGCTTTGTGATTGTTATTTTCTCATTGCTGGTATCTGCCCCTGGTGGATGACGCTGGACTAGAGGCTTATGCAGGTTCCCTGGCAGGAGTTGGTGCCTGCCCACTGTGGGGATGAAGCTTGTTCCTGGACCTCTGGTAGGTAGGGCTGTGTCTAGGGTTATGTCTAGAAGTGTTTGTGGCTCAGGAAGTCTGCTGATGGGTGGGGCTATGTTCCCACCCAGTATATTGTTTGATCTGAGGCTTCCCAGCCCTTAAGCTTACAGGCTGTTGGGTGGGGCTAAGTCTTGGTGTGAATGATCCAATCAAGATGTCAGCCTCCAAGAAAGCTCATGTAGATGAACACTCCCGGAATGCCTGCCACCAGCTTTTATGTCCACTGGGTGAGCTGCAACCATCCCCTACCTCCTCAGGAGACCCTCTAAAACCAGCAGGCAGGCCTGGTCCAGGTTCCTATGAAATCACTGCCTCTGCCTTTGGACCTGGCGCACGCAAGACTCTGTGTATGCTTCCCGAGAGAATGAAGTATGTTTCCCCCAGACCCATGGGGTTCCTGGAGTTGAGCCCCACTGGCCTTCAAAACCA